CCTAAAGTACGTGTTTTTCTAAAAGTTAATTTAGCAACTATAACTGATTAAATGTTACTAATTACTACCCACCTCTGTGTATGTAAAAAAAAAAAGTGTTGCCCTCCTGCAAGGTCAACATCAGCAACAAAATCAAGTATTTGAAAGCCTCTTTCAGCTTTTCTTCCAGGATTGGCCAGCATTATACTTTATTAATTTTATTATAATTTAGATAATAATTACAATTAGATAATTTTAGTATCTTAATAACATTTTCCCCTGTTGAAGACAAGGCTCGCTACAGCATGATGTTGTGTTATAATTTCTGGGATGTTGAGCTCAGAGCAATTCGGCAAGTTGTTTCTTTTCGCACATTGTATTTTTCCTTTTGGCAAGACAAAAAAACAAATCAACAAAAAAATATTTTGGTCTCTTTTGGCCAGCCATGTTTGCACATTCCTCTAAATGACTTGTTGCAAATACGTCTCAATATGTCTTTCTTTCAGTAATAGCTTTCATCTACCATAAAGTCGAGATTTGGTGACTGTACAGATGCTTTTCTTATGACAGATTTTCACACCTAAGCCAGAAGAAGTCCATGCCATTACCCTGAGCCTCCTAACGGCTTTTCTTATAAATGCTCTCCTTCCCAGTGGCTCAGTGTAACGCCATGTCTTTGGCAGCAGTTGTGCCATACTGCACGTCTTTTGTTTTAAGGTGTTCAAAGACTCTTATTTTGTCAAACCTAAAAGTGCTTCAAACTTAGCAACAACTTCCTCCATGACTACTTACTTGTTCACTAATGTTCTCTAACAAACCTCTAAGGCCTTCACAGAGCAGCTGTGTTTACACTGAGATTAAATTACACATTAGTCAAATTCTAATTATGGTAGTTGACTTAAAGCCCTGGACTGAATGTAATAGTTGTAGAAAAAAAGGGGTGGAAAAAATACACTTATGATTTTCAGATTTTTATCATTAAAATTTTACAACAGTGAATCCCTTTCCTTTTACTTGAAAATGAAGCACCGGTTTGTGGAATTCATAGATATTTTTAGTTTGTAATGTGACAGAATTTGCAAAATTTCCATAATTATGAATACCTATGCACATTCTGAAACCAACATCCCATTTCACACCGTTTTTTTTTTTTTTTTTTTTCAGGATAAGCTCTATATAAGGTCCTGAGGAAGTGCCATCTTGTTATCAGCTCTAAACTTGGAGAGTCAACACATCCCCGTTTCTTAAAGTTGAGTAAGTCTGTTTCTTGTACTCATGTTGTGACGTCAGTGCGTTGGACCGATCAAATCTATTAAGGACCCTCTGAGTCATCACGAAGAGGGCTCCTCCTCTGACATGTGGACTCCATGAAGCGCAGTTTGGTCAAAAGTAGGCAGGTCCTCTGTCAGCTGTTGCGCCTACACTGTAAAAAATGTCAGTATTTCCAACTTGTTTATTCCTCATTTAAAGTTGTGCAAATAGATTAATTCAACTAAAAAGATTGTCGACTCTACATAGTTCAGCATTTTTTACAATGTTTCCATTGAAATAAAGATTTTAAGGGAAGGTGTTTGTTCTGAAATGGTATTTTTTACAGTGTTATTACTGTCCAGATCCTCCCAGTACTTTCTCGTCATTTACACTTGTGTGCAGTCCATCAGCTGGGAGGTCTCAGTATAAAAGCCAAAGCCAGAGGAGATAAATAAATCCCCTTCAAAGTTTTAGAAGCTGAAAGTCTTGTTTGGATTTAGCGGATCAGGAGGCCGCTGCGTAAAGGGGGCGCGCGCTTAATGAGGCGTAAAGTTTGACCAGAGAACTAAAATACAGTAGACTGCAACCAACCTACTTCACTAACAAATAACTTTTTTGAGTCTGAGATCGGCTGAAGATGGCAGAAGGAGACTTTTACACCATGGGGAACCGGCAGCGGTTTCCCAGGGACCCGTTTGGAGAATCACCGTTCAGGGACCAGTCTCCGTTCCGGGATCAGCTCTCATCCCGGTTCATGGAGGATGATTTCGGGATGCCGCCTTTCCCCGACGATCTCGGCATGGACTGGCCCGGCTGGGCTCGGCCCGGCCGGTTAAGCACGCGCCTTGGTACGTCGCCCTTTGCCGGTCCTTTACGCACAGGTTTCCCAGCTCGCCACTCCACGGGAGGCCCAGCGCTGTACACCAGCAGGTACGGCGAGCCGTCCCCACGCAGCTCCCCCACGACCACGGGCGGGGAACCCTGGAAAGTATGCGTGAACGTCCACAGCTTCAAACCAGAGGAGTTAAACGTGAAGACCAGAGACGGGTTTGTAGAAGTTTCAGGTGAGAAGATGCTGATGGACAAAAACAAAAACACTGGTATTCTCCAGTGGATTGTATTTATTATATCTTATGTTCAATAACTAAATGTCAAAGTTTGTCACAGTGGTTCCTTTGCACTTTTACAGGCACCACCTCAGACTAAAAACTATCTCTACTCATAGGTTAAGCTGGAAACTTGTTAATTTTTGCTTTTTTTTAGGTTTCATTCATTTGTATAGCATCTTATCCGATAAGGTACAAGCATTAGTAAAATTAAAATAAAGTTTTTTAATTGATCTTTTGTAATAAGTTAACATTTTTGCAATGATCTTTACACCCACTGCATTAGTGTTTGGTTGAATGTTTTTAGGAATTAATACACCAGTGTGTTAAAACTTTTAATCCAAGAAACATACAATTTAGGTTGGTGGTTAATAATTTCCGAATAGTATATCATGCCATAATTTAAGTAAATTATTATTAAGTAGATTATCACTGATGCTGAATAGCTTCCTCTCTGTTTTTTTTTTTGTTTTGTTTTGTTTTTCGTATGAACAAATTACCAACCAATGCAAACATGACAGCAGTTTAAAGGTTTAATAAATAGTGTTTATAAAAGGCAGGATCTTTTTGAGATTGCTTTAGTAAAATGGAGGAAGTTGAAGAAGATGAAATGATTCCACTCTGCCGTTAGCCTCTTTTTTTAAAAACTTCTCATTGTGTTATTGTTTTAACATCAATTCAGGCATAGGTTAGATAATAACTGAATTCCATCTCTTAGTAGCAGTTGATTGAGACCAGATTGAAGTATCCCTTTAGCTCTGCAGCAATCATTGCTGCTCTGGGCTCAGTGTTTTTGATTTGCTTTTATGGAATCCAGCAAATCAATGAAATATATTGTTTATAAATTAAACATAAATGTAGATTGTTTTCTAATTGCCAGACAGAAACATTTAGCAATTATGAACTAAAGGAGTTAAGAAAATACATTAGTTTGAGTCCTTTTATGAAAGAGGAAGACATATTTTTGTGACTTAGAAGTGGTTTGGCAGAACATAAAGCTCGGGCACCTGTTTCAGATTGTTGGAGAATCGCTCCCTCAGCCGCTCATGAGCTCTTTTTAGATTTTAAGGCAAGGCCTGTGACAACAGTCTCTGTTTACAATAAGAAGGGCAGCTTGACGTCACACAGAGAATGTTCTGGAAGGAAAAGGGGGCCGGTTCTTTAACCAAGTAGTTCCACTGAAGTTTTATCTCCAACCACAGGAGTAAGTTGTAAAAAAAAACTTCCTCTATCTCCTGTCGACGCTTTAAAAAATGAATTCCAGGGATACCTAGGTTTGAAGGGGCCACTAAGGACAGCTGCCTTTCCTCTGAGCATTTAGCTCTGAGTTTTTTATAAACACATTGTTGGTATGTAAGTTGGGTTATTCAATCGGCCCTATGCCTGGCTTGGCCAGCATTCTGTTCGGCCTGTTCTAAATGTGTGGTAGGGACACCAATAAAACAGGTAAGATGTGTTTTTTCCATGAAAGGCAATAGGTAGGCTAAACTTTACTGCATCTAAAAGCAAAGTAAGATTCTCTACCTCATTTTGCCACAGGACTGTGAAATGGAACACCAAACATTAGTGATTTTTCAAGCAAATATTTCCCAAATTAACTCAAAGCAGCTGAATTAAGAATATGGCGCTTGAAAAAGCTTTTAAGCTCTTAATTACTCTGGAAAAAATGTTCAAGTGTTCTCTGCTAATAGTTATTGGCTCTGCTAAGTATCAGTCCACAATATAGAGTATGTTAGTCAACCTTCCAAAAATATATCTAATTGCAATTTTGGAATAGATGGCGAAGCAAACAAATGACCTTCTTTATTAAGTGTATACAATTTTTAGAACCAAATTTCAGCTTTCAAAAAGATTTGTCTCTATTTTCTAAAATAAAAAAAAAACAAGAAAACTTTTAATGGAGTGTTGGTGGTTGTAAAAGAGAAAAGAAGGACACTGTGACCAATGTTGACCTGCTTTTAAGCAATTGGTTGTGTGAAATAAAGGTATTTGATGCAACCCTAGGAGCATCAGTAAATATATGAACATTCAAAGCTTACAGTTGGAACTTGGCTGATTTGTGGCAAATATTGATCTTTTTTTATTATAAAATATTGTTTTCAGTTCTTTTCTTGCAGGTGCTAATTGGCCTTAGTTTGTCAATCCTAACACCACATTAATTGTTATGTTTCAAAGGTCTTACTATATGTGAAATACAGATAATAAAGTCTAGGAGAACATAATTATTAACCCAAAACAAAGCAGTTTTAGTTTAAACTTTTACTGAAGTCATGTTGTAGCAACAGGAGTTGTCCTCTCTTGTTCATCATAACCATGATAAGGCTTTCCATGTTCTTTTTTTAAGCTTAAGGTCTATGAGTCGATGTTGAAACTAATCTCTGAAATACAGTTAAACTTTAACAATGTCAACATCTTCCTTTTGAGAAGTCATGTATTTGCACAAACAGTACCCCTTAAACTGTGAACTAAGACACCACCTTGTTTTTGGTACACAAAGTTGGAAACATCTGGAAAACAAGGGAGGTAGCACTTTCTTGTATTGCTCTGTGGGGATGACTTGTACTTCTGAAGTCATGTAGAGGTCTTCATAATAATCCTATGACCTCACTGATGATCCTAACTCACTCCTCCGCAGGGACTTCAGCCTCAGTTTCTGGTGAAATGCAGCTCTGTCAGCAGGTAGAGATGTCACAGTAGGGTATAGGGTTGCACATAGTTGAACCTGAAGTGCTCAAAGGCGCTGAGCGGAGTCACAGGCCACACTCCTCCCAGCAGCATTGACATTTTAGCTGTCGAGGAGCAGCTGTTGGTCAGCTAAACCAGTTTGCTCATAATGAACAGCAAGGGAGAAGGTGGAGCAGAGGCTTTCCAGGACTGCATGTTCCTCACGCCATTAGTTCTCCTTGTCTCTGCAGGACAGTGATTCCTAGAACTGGGTAAAGAAAATGTGATTGATGTAGTTTGGCAGAAATAAACACAGGGCGCGGGTGGAGCCTGTGTGCCAAATGAACTTCAGTTAAATCATCACACCTCTTCCACTGACTTCCATATTTGAGATCAAAATAGTGACAGGGTTAGTTTCTAATGTAGGGTAAATGAGATTGGCTACTCATTGGACAAAGCTGCAGCTGAGCAGCCATGAGGGGGGGCAACGCTTCTCCTAGCCTCCTATATCCGTGAATACTCATTTCCCACAAATTCAAAAGGAAAAGAGTAATCTGAAATGGTTCAAGATCATGTTTACTGATTTATTTAGATCTACTTTTTGCACAACCTTTCTATTTTTGGCAATAGCTTGAAAAACTCCTGAAATGTTGATGTAGCTTACAGGTTTGGTACCGCATCCCTGGATGGGATATTCCCCCTCTATGCTAACCTTCATTACATCTTTTTAAAAAATATATTTTCTGTTTTCTGACAGGCAAACATGAAGAAAAACAGGAGGAGGGAGGCATTGTGACAAAAAATTTCACAAAGAAGATACAGTGAGTATGACTATGAGGCCTTTTGTCTATGTGTGTCTGCACAGCATAAAGAAAAGTACAGGTACATTCTAGAGCTAACACATTACAGCTACTAAATATAGATAATTTCCCCTAAGAAAATCAAACTTTGGTATAGATGACATTAACTTTCTCTAAACTTTGCATTTACTTTGCATATTATTGTCCTTTCATTTTAACATGGAAGAGAAGCTTCTTTTCATTTATGTAATTGTTCATCCTTGTTTCAAAGTTTGCTAATGTTGTTTGCTGACAAAGTAAAACTTTAGGACTTTTTTTGATCAACTAGCCATCTGAAGACAGAAATATTTTATTCAGATTTATCAATGCAATTTTAGTGTCTCCAAGTGGTCAAATAACTGGAATTAAGTCAGTCAATTGGAACATTTAGTATTCAGTGGACTATAATTGCCTGAGTATTTTTGTAAAACCTTAACAGCCTGATTAAATCATATCCTGATCAAATTACTTTTATTTCTGTGCTGTTGTCTGTAAAATAAATTCAGCAAAAAACTTTAAACTCAAACCAGTCCATTTAAATTACTTAACCCCTACTATTTGAAGCATGTTCAGGTTGCAGAACAGCCACATCTGTTATAATCCAGTTTTTGCTTACTTAAAGGCACATTTCAACAAATTTCATAAATGATATTATTAGAGCAGGACTGGTTATATAAAGTCCCATTGTACAGATTTCTTATAGCACATAGGCATGCTGCAACTGTTTTAAACCAGACTTGCAAAATACACAATTTCCACAACCTGTCTCTTTTTGCTTTTCAGCAAATTTAATTGGTCAGAAGACTTTCAACACAGGCACTAAATCAGTGGTGTGATCAGCCTTTCACAGACACGTCAGCAGAGTCCTGCTAATTTCCTGTTAGCTAATTAGAAAGCAGGTGCCCTGCAGCCCAACACTCTTTATATACAATGCAACATAATTGGAAATCAGGTCTGAGGATGTCTCCTGAGTTAATACAAACCTTAAGTCAATGACTGGCTGAATGGCTGAAGGGCTGGAAGGGTGAGAAGTAGGGGGATGGGATGATAATAGGTCATGTATAAATAACTTCCCCTAATATAGAAATCAACTGGCTAAATGCAGTAAACAGACAGTCTGATCTGCACTTCTGAGTTACATGTGTTCAGCAAGAGGGAACGCATTTCTATTTACCTGCAGCCACTAGAACATTATAATTCCTTTTTGTGCATAAAACAAGCGGAGCTATAGGGTGGCTGGTGAGACTATTTACCCTTCTTAGAAGATTTTCACATTTTATCATGTAACAACAACAAGCTGTTATGTATTTTATCAGAAAGACCAAGACAAGGTGGTCTATAAAAGATAAAGGAATATAAAACATTTTTTTATTTATTTAGAAATTTAAAGTTGTGTGCATAATTGTACCAAGCCCTCCTGAGTTAATACTCTGTGTAACTTCATTGGTTGTCTCAATAAGCTCAATAAGCTTTTCAATACTACAAACTTCTCTGAACTCTCAGACCTACCTACTGAGATACATTACACTCTATTATTAACCAGCTAATATCTGTATGGAACTATTTACACTGGATTGTAATTGGTTGGTGTCAGAGTGACGAGGTTTCTGCCAGTGCACAAATGCACAACCAACTTTTCAGTTTTTTATGTGTGATTTTAAAGACAATTTTTATATTTCCTTTGGAATATTTCCTTCCTCCTTGGACCATGACAAATTATGAAAAAGTGCAAGGCACTATACTGAAGCTAAAATATTAAGATTATTTGTGATTAATCAAATATTGAAAAAACCCATGAATAATTTAATGAATCAAATAAAATTTAACTGGACTCGATAACTTGTCATTTACTTAAAGAACAACCAACTCCGAGCAGGAATCAGGCCAAAAGTGTACAAATCTCATGTATATCACGCCGCTTTTTTGTTTTTAAGGTTTTCCATGCAGATCAAGCTGGAACCTAAACATTCTTAATTTAACCAGAACAGGCTGCATGTCTGAAATAATTTCATCTGATTTTATAGCTACTTCTTTTAGCTGCAGATGCATGATATTCATATAAGGGCATCTGCAAATCATATTCTAAAACTGATATAGTGTACACTTAAGGTTTTTGCTTTTTTTCAATTAATCATAAAATAGTTATAAGGAATATGGGTAGAAGGTGCTCACATTTTATTCATCTACTGGATTATTGATCAGAATAATTGATAGAATAGTTGAAAACTAAAATAATCGTTAGCTGTAGCCCTACACCAAATTATTAAGGAAGAAAAACCCCACTGCTGCACAACAGTTTTTTTTTTTTTTTTTCTTTTAATAGCACCTTCTGAAATATCAGATACCAGCTGGGACTATAGGTCATTGTTCTACAGAATAAAAAATCAGGAGCTACAATATGTAACGTTCTAACCTCAAGCTTTATTAGAATCCACTTTAAATGACAACTCTCTGGAAATCCAAGCCCCAAACCAGCATGAAATCTATTAATTATCAACCTAAAACGCTAAATACTGAGGGCAAAGGTAACAGAACATGTAACTTACATAACACCACCAACAGTGTCTTAACAAGATGTGGGAAAATAGAATATTTGCTCAGGTTATAAGTTTACCTTGCACACATGCACTGTTTTATATTATTTTGTTTCCATTTTTTATCTCACTGGGGTACTGTAGTCTGGAATCTGAACACTGTGAGAGCTTGTTTAAAAATCAATGCCTGAGATAAAAAGTCTGCCAAAGTCAAACAGGATCCCCAAAGTGGAGACGGATGAGGTCTGTGCTCGGTCCCGGCGTCACCGATCTGAATTTGACAAAGGTAGCAGCTTTATTTTGCAGAAACTGTCTCAGTGAAGAAAGGTGAAGGCATGGGGGAGTATTTAATCTCATTAAGATATTATATTTTTAACTAGCTGACCCCCACCTTCATTTAACTAGTAGCTACAGATCATACTCTGTTAACTGAATGAACGTTACAGTGAGTCAGCTTGCAAACCTCTATCTAGAATACAATACAGTGTTTTTGCAATCATACGGTTGTGTGATTTTGAGAATAACAGCATCTTATCCTCAACTTATATCCAGTTTTGAGCTCAATATAGATTTTTATATGACTAAACGCAGTATGATATCTACACTCTCAATAGGAGATTTTTTTCTTTAAATAAGTGCATTTTTGCTTGAATTAAGGAGGTAAGGGAGATACTTTGGAAATAGAACAAGAAAATTTACATTTAAAAAGAGAAAAAACAAATATATTGTCCTATTACAAGTGAATGTTAAAATAATTATCTTATTTTAAGAGTAAAAATATTAATACCATTGGCAAATCATCTTATTTACAGTACCTGCTCAAATTAAGGGTAAATACACTTAATTTAACACGTTTACTCATTTTTTTCTGGATACCGGGGCCTCAGGAAAAGAGCTGTACAATACTAATTGTACATTATAATCTATCGCTTTGCTAATTTGGTTATTCAGTTGGTAAAGAAAGCTCCAACTAAAGCACCTCTAACACAATGTGATCCTTTACTTTCTCCAGTTGTTCAGGGGCTCAGGGAATTTCTGTTTCTAATCCTAAACTGTTTCTCTAGAGTTTAAATATGCAGAGGCAAAAAAAATATATATATATCTTTTTTTTTTTTTACCCATTTTCACAATTAGAAAGTGAACATGTTCTTCATACAAAGCAGGTCAGAGCTGATCAGTAGTCCTGAATGCTTAAACAGAAGGTAATCCAGGTTTTAGTTCTTGAAAACTCACCAAATTGAAACATATAATTATTAGATATCTAAGTTATTAAGACCACCAAGTGTTACATTAATCTATATTTTACTATGCTTTATATTGTAATGGGACAATGAAGGAACTGAATTATGAATCTGCATCCAAACTGTAAGGGTCCATACGGCCTTCTGCTCTCTTTGTACCACAAAGGACCAGAACAACAACTGCAATACTGCAGCGTCTGCACTAGTTCGTTTAGGGTGTTTATTTATATTTTTTATAGATTATAGTTACGTACCTTCCTCTTTCCACAACTTCTTGGTTATAATAACTGTTCAGCTTAATTTCACTTTTTAATGTGTAGTTTTATTCTAAATTCTGGACATTGAATCAGCTCAAACTGCAGTGAAAGGTGCAATTACCATCCATTACTGAGTGGAATTATCCATGTATTTGCACTTCACTGGTCATCAAGGTGTTTTTGCTCCAACGTTTTACAGCGCTGTTGTAGTATTTAACTGCTTGTCACCTTACAAGTCTATATCTTTTAAGATTTCATAAAATTAGGAAGACTTATTTGGGCTAAAGTGCTATTATTGCTTTTTTTTTTAGGTGTCGGTTACTCAGTTCCAGTGTCAGAATTTTTACATCAGTTCTCAGCATTAGTCTTTAAGCCTCTGGGCTCCCATTTATCCTCCCAAGTGACACTTCAGTGCCCTTGGGTTGCATTTTATCTCTGTGTGGCAGCTGTTATTCTGTCTGGCAAAAAAGGAAAAAAATATATCCCAATACTCCAATTTTATTTAATTTTTTCTAAACTTTAACATTTTTTGCCTCAGAAATCTCATTTTTGATGACAATGTTGATTTTTTAAGGAATAGTTTCTGAGGAGTATCTTCACATCACAGTGACATAATATATGTGGTATCTGAGAACAGAAATAGACTTGACGTGATGTCTCTGTCTGAGGTTCTTCTGCACACTCTGACTTGTATTTCACATAGGAATGAAAAGCCAGTGGAGGGTCCACTCTAATTAAAAGGAGGGCATATCGGCCATCTCCTCTGCTGATGGTCTGAAGGCAGCCTGATGTTTATATTAACTCCCCCCAAAACACTTGGCTGTGCACAGAACAGATACAATAGCCATATTTGGTCATAGAGGATAGTTCAGGTCTGCATGCAGCTGCAGCAGCTTTTATATTAAATCTATTTAAATAGCTTTTTAATGAAGTCCTTATTTGTTTTTAACATCCAGAGTTTTGCAGATATTGCATTGCCGGTCAAAGACATAGGAGTGAACAAGAACTGAACTATACAAATCACTAAAAAGACTGACAACAACTTTCTTCTTTCCATCATATGTCACAGTAAGAGGTTATGTTTGGGCCAAAGGTTGCACAAGACCTTTTCAGTGTCTGTCCTTTTGACTCACGAGATGAACAGAAATGATATCATAATCTTTTTTTTATATATATATATATATATATATATATATATTAGTAATAATACTTTTTAAAGTTGTTATTTAGATTTTTTTGAACTAATATTCAGTCTGAGCTAGAGATTTACAGATCAATTTTCTCCAATCTGATACCAAAACCTGTACTGAGCGTATGTGCTGAGCCGCTACCATTCCAATTCAACGGTTGGATGATAAAAAAACGTATATCTTGCCATCTTAGTAAAGGCTTTAGCCTTGACATAAACATTGTTAAAAATTTAATTTTATTATTTATTAAGAAATGAGCAGCAAAAAGAAAAAATAACAGCTTTATGTAAAGTGCACTGGATTGAATCTCCAATATCATATCGGAGCCGATGTCCACTCAAGGTATCGGATCTGTGCATCTCTTGTCTGAACAAGCTAAACAGAGAATTCACATCAAATAGATGAATACAAATAACTTTTTTTCTCTGCTGTGACATAAAAACTGTGGTCTCAGTAACATAAACATATAAATAATGAAATTATATGATTGCACTAAAAAAATTGCCTGCTGTGGTCTGAAAGCATAGCCTCACAGCTTGATTCTGCTCAGCATTGACAATGAATTGAACAATCAAGTGTGTCAAATTGGATTCCTGAGGCTATTATCATAGGATATATCACTCTCGCCTCAGATAGATGACTTCACATCCTGGTTTTCTGTTGCTCTGGAGGCTAAATCAGTGTTCTGCCGTCACACTTCAAACTGGAATTACAAGCGCCAAACACACAAGTTTTCTGATCCAGTTTGGACTCTTTTGGGCAAGTGATCAGGGTGTGAATTGGCTTTTAGATGTATCCATGATCTCTTTAAAAGGGGTCAAATGTGTAAAATAACATGACCCCTGTCCTGGGCAGAGAAAAAAAGATAAGACAAATAGGCTTTGGATGGAGAAACCAGCAGAGACAGAAACTCAGGAAGTAAAACATTCCACAGGAGCGAATAGTCAACTACTACAACACCATTAGTCTGTCTGCTTTGATCTGTTTTATCTCTGATTATTTGGCTTTTCTACAAAACAGGAGCGTTCAAAACTCCAAACTCACACACTCTGATCATAGACTATTTAGACTTTTATCTATAGGTCTGTGCTATAGAGCACGGATGGCAAAAACATGAATGAATGAATGGAATGAATGAATGAATGAATGAATGAATGAATAGAATAGAATAAATAAATGAATAGGAATTGACAAACAACAATAAATGAATATACAATGTACACACCAAAGAGACTAGTTTACATCAACAACATTAACATGAATAGAAACAAAACCCTCCACCAAATAAACCTGTCGATATAAACAGCCAGAGAAATTAAATTGATTAATTTAAATTGTCTGTAAAACTTAAAGTAGA